CATTAAGTTTAAGGCTTTGAAAGCTCACACTTTAATCCACTAAAACCACCTTTTTCAAATAATCTTTTAAATAATATAGGGAAGAGTTATTATACTCGATATCTGAATGATTACTTACAAAATCGGACTCGAGAACTTTAACTTTTAGCCTTGAAAAGGTAATATAAACGCATTAAATATTTCGAAGACGCTAATCTATTAAAAGCTAATCTATTAATTGTTTAGATCTGTAAATCTTTTTAGTGCTATCATGTATCATGATATTACAATACAAAACCATACTTGATATGTACACTAAAAAATTATATAAATAAATTTAATCGTACATATTTAGTGTTCTGGAACTGTACCATTCTGTTAATATTTGAAGTGGGTAGGCTATTTTTTTACAAACATTCGTTTTATTTACAGCTATGCTAAACAACTAAGTTGTTTATTTATTTCAAAAAGAAAGATTCGGACTTACAAGCTTGGTTAGTTGCAGTGACAGGCCATTGAATAACTTCCATGTACTTCAATTATCGATTTTTATACCATATTACACTTAAAAGGTACAAGAAATTGTAATGAAATAAAAGCTAAGCCTTTTATGTTAAAGAAGCAATAATGTGAATTTCTAAACGTACTATTAAGATAAACAGAGATACGTAAATATATAAGCATCGCCTATTGTGAAGATTCGTAACCTTGTGCAGAAACCATCACACTGGAATAAGATAAGAGTCTACTAAAATATCTAAAATTAGTTAATATCATGTTTAAATTTCAAAAATTCACCATTTCATAGATCTAAATTTCAAAAAATTTCTATATCATTGAATAAGGTAAACGTATTAAGATGCTAAGTAACTTTTTTAGCCATTCAGTAGGACAAAAGATATATCTAGCAAATACACAAAAATAACCAACAAAAGTAAACATGTAAACATTTTTTTTATATTTTAATTATCAGTAAATATTAAAATAAAATTCATTTAAATTTTATTATATAAGTATATAAAACTTAACTTAGATATACAAAGAGTTAGAATGATGTGTCTAAAACCTTCAAGATAAACCGGAACATAATAATCCTTCTAATACCTCAGTTATAATGATCAATGATACTGTTCACCATATCGCTTATAAGATCTTAAAAATAAATCCAAATCAAAAAATCTAACTAATAGACTACAATAAATATTTAGTAGACTTTTCCATTAGAGAATACTTCCAAAAGTAAGTAGGGGACTCTTTCATTAGGTATAAAAATCACTGATCAGTCGTCCATCTTAAATAAATTTACTAGAATACAAATATACATAAAGGTAAATAAGAAATAGCCTATAGATATATGAAACATAAATTTGTTTAATATATCTATATAATCTATATCTATATAATCTATATCTATATATACCATATATATAAATATCAAAAGCCAGCCATGTTATTTTTCTTTTTCAACACAAATATGTACATTAATGAATTCTTATCTGAACTTTTTAAGTATATTTCGACTTTTAAACTTTGGTAGAAACAAAATCTTCATAGTTTTGCCTCAAGAAGATTTATGAATTGTTAATGTGCATTTTAAGATACTTTTGAGATTCTTTTTTTTCTGCAATGTTAAACCGAAAACTTTTGTGTGAAAATGGTCAGAAAGTTTGAAAATAAATCTATGTCAGCTTTTACTGAATTCATAAAATGTAAAAATTCAAAAAATTAACATAGCCTGAGATTATGAAAATATAAAGTTATTTTAGGAAGAGTCGTGTTTAAATATTTTTATTTTCCAACAATTCTAATAAAATTGACGTTTTACGAGGTTTATATTTATAAAATCCGATTAAAAATAAATCAGTAAAAGCTATAAATAATAAATATATACAAAGTGTAGAGGACTTAGTAAAAACGTTTACATTTGTAACAGCTATCGAGAGATATGTATTCATTTTTGAAATTACTTTTACTCTCTTATTCAAATTAATAGTTTCCTAAAAACGTTACCTACGTTACCTGATTATAAATTTCTTCAAATAATATAGTCTTGTGTAATTTTTGTCGACTCTTTATTAAATAATATAATTTTTAATTTAATACTGTTTACCTTTATAGCACGCCTTCGTCGGATTTAGAAGAAAGCACTTAAGAAATGAAGTTATAATTTGATTTTAATAATTCTATCTATTTAAATGTATAAATAGAATTAAATCTATAGCATGTCTAGACAAAGCAGTCATACCTTAAACCTTTCCAGTATCAATTTAATGCCAATATCTTGCTCTGCCGACCAATATTTTGAAAACATCTTAACCACCCCCTATTCTGTATAATTGATAAATTCACAGTCTTGCTTATTTATCAAGATTGACCATTTAACAAGGTTGACAATTTTTCACAGTGTAGTGAAAAACCATAGGCACTTAAACTTTGAGTGCCCTTGATCAATATTTGCACAGAATAGCCAAAAGCTTTTTGGATAGTAAAAATCTTGATTATTCGTCAATTTATCAAGTTTTATCAAGACTATAAAAAACGACTTAAAAATTCAAAATAAAGTTACAAAAGTTAATCGCATAAGGAATACCAGAGGAGTGCATTGCTTGGTCGTTCACATTCTTTGAGTTCTATTTTGCCAAAAGTTTCCTGTTTAATTTTCTTTTTTGAAATAATAAATACTGAAAACTTTTTATACCGATTCTATACCTTGCATTTTCAAATATAGATATATATTAATTTAAACACACAGTTTGATTTTATTTTCGAAGGTCTGTCATTGATATGTATTACATTGTGACCGAAAGGTTTTCGGAGGTTCTCATTTAAAATTCGCGCGCTGTATATTTTTCGATATTTTAAGTTTATGTAGTTTGCAGGCATGGTCCTTAATTACTATGGCCAAAATAGCGCGAGTCTGTCAGACAGTTCCGTTTAAGCGGCAGCTGTTGAAACCAGTTCCCCTCAGTAGTGCGTTGCGAAAAAACAATGGAAAAAAATATTGAACAAAGAGTTTGCATCAAATTTTGTGTTTCGAACGAAATTTCGTGTGCAGAATCGTTGCGAATGCTACAAAAGGCTTATGGGTAATCAGTTTTATCGAAAACTCAAGTTTATGAGTGGTACAAAGCCTTTCAGGACGGTCGTACGACCGTCGAAGACATGCCGCGTTCTGGACGACCTTCGGCCTCTACCACCGACGAAAACATTGAAAAGGCAAAGGAAATCGTGTTCCAAAATCCTCATGTGAGTGTTAGAGAGATAGCACGAGAGCTAGGCATCGGTCGTGAGAGCTATCCGCCGTAAACGGCCTCAATTGTGGAAGGATAATTCATGGATTTTTCATGACGATAATGCTCCCTCGCACCGAGCCAACATTATCAACGATTTTAAGGCCAAACATTCAATAAATACCATCAAACAGCCACCGTATTCACCTGATCTTGCACCGTGTGACTTTTTCCTGTTTCCCAAACTCAAATTACCACTCAGAGGAACGCGTTTTGAATCCATAGAAGACGAAAAACAGAATTCGCAGAGGGAACTCAAAGCCATACCGGAAAGCGCCAATAAAAAAGATGTTTTTGATGATTGGAAGAAAACGTTGGCATTTGTGTATCGCTTCTAAATGGAGCATATTTTGAGGAGATAACAGATAATATTGATGAAGATTAAGAATTTTGCGTTTTATTTAAAATTTCCGGAAGCTTTTCGGTCACAATGTATACATAAACTTATTTTAGCATATACATATATGAGACATCTTACATTTTAAGTAATTATTTTTAAAGTAAGCATTGCATTAGTTTTATATATAATTGAAAATTCATTTATTTAATATCATTGGTTACTAAGTGCTTTGCAGTGATGGATCTGCTTTATTCATAAAAAATTATTTCCAAAAAAAGCTGAAAAACTAATTGGGTTTAAAAATCGAATGCTTTTCAAAATGTTCTAATACTTTATTGTTGCTTAAACGTATCCCTTATACATAATAAGGGACATAACACATAATATATATATATATATGTTAATAAATACATGCATACCTTCTGATCAAAAAAGTACGAGTGGCGTATTTTAAATTCCCGCGCTTATCCAATCGGTAAATTTTTTTTACTTTCACGCTGGCAGCACTATTATACACATACTGTCAAAGTCTAACGCATATCGTACGCACGGTTGCCACTTATGGTACTTTAGTACCAAAATTGGTACTTTTTTTTTTTTTCGTTTGGTACTCATGTTCAAAAAATGGTACATTTTTGACGACCCAACTTTATTGTGGAAATTTCCAATTAATTTTTTTTATAAATGCAACTTTGCACTATTTTATATTTTGTTCATTTATAACACTATGAAAAACACAGAAAGAGAAAACAAAAAGGTCCAAAAAAATTTTGGACCTTTTTTTACAAAAATGGTACCTTTTTAAACCAATTTTGGTACAGAAAAAAATTTTCAAGTGGCAACCGTGATCGTACGATTAATTTTTGTTTGGCGACAGAATGTTTATAATAGTGTTGCCAGCGTGAAAATAAAAAAAATTTACCGATTGGATAATCACAGAAATTCAAAAAATTAAAATTCTTGTTATTTTTTGATCACAAGTTATATGTACACATGTTTATACACATATATATGTATGTAAGTATGCATTATGTATACAATTTCTGAAGTGAAATGAAGTTTGAATAATACTTTTGTTTTGTTTATAACAAATCTGCATGAAATTTTCCAAGTTTGCTAAATGCAGAAAATAACCAATCAAGCAAGATAAATTAACCGTGCAATGATTTTGATTGATTTGGAGTTGATTAAAACTAACACAGATGCGAACTAATCAGCCAAGCTGGAGGCCAACTAACAAATGCGCAAATAAAATGAAAACTGTATCTACGCTTATTAAAAAAAATAAAGGGAAAATACAAAAATATATGCAATCTAACATTTTATAAACAAAAAACAAATCTAAACTGTTTAGCAGTTGTGAATGATTGCCAAAAAATATTCTTAATTAGTTACAGATATGCACACAAAAATCGCTCGACCATTCGGGGAGCCATTAATGCTGAATAAGAAAATTTTGAAGAATAGCTCAACGGGATCGAATGCAGGATCCATCGAAACGGCATCCAGCACAGTGGGCGCAAATAATGTGAAAAGCGTAACTTTAGCAACAACAACAACCACAACAAATTTGTCAACAACTGCATCCAATGATGGCAGCAAGCCAAAACGAAAAATTCGGTTAAAATGAAACTTTTAAGTCAGCAAAAATATGTAAAGTACTTGAGAATTATGCAATTAAAATGAGAAAAATGAACCCAAACTGCAATTGGAATATTTTAAAATGCAAATCAGGATGACAGAGCAAAATGTTGTCACCTGCTGTGTAACAAATTATCGAAATGTGTAGGGCGGGGTCATAAGCAAAATTTGCATTAAATTCGCAATGCCAGGGATTTTTCATATAAATTTTTGCCATTACAAGTCATTTTGAGAAATTTTTTATACGCAAGTGTCTCTGTTGGGAAAATGTAATATCAGTAAAAAGTTCATTTTAAATGAATTGTAGTTAATCCTTAAATAAATACGAGTATGCTACATAATAGTCCATATATAAATTTATGTTGAAGTATTTATTTGTAGCATAATGTCTGAACACTTCAAATTGCATCCAAAAGGTGAATTTGCTATTTAAAAATGTCTCTTTTCGTTATAAATTTTAGAACATAAGTTCTTTAAGTTTTACTCCTTTTTAAATCCAATATAAAAAGAATAATACAATCCTATACCGTTCTAATTGCTAACTGTAATAACAATCTACTCTTTTAATACAAAAACTCAGTCCCCAAAAAGCTTTAATGCTCCTTAACAGATATGGGTATTTTTTAGAAAATGCAACCCAATTTTTTGAACAACTAAAATCTTAATCCTTTCAAAGTCAATAAAAAAAACATTAAGAATTTTGTATCCATATATCACAGCTCCAAACTCTTCAATGTAAAGTAAAAGAGATACTCTCTTTTCCGTTAAAGTATATAAAGCCTCAGAAATTATATACGAATATTATTAAATAAAATATTACATATTTTTAAAAAAATTATTTTTATATACAATAATCTCATATAAAACGAATAACGAAAATAGTTCTATTAAATAAAATAATCTATATTTTTTCACAAATTCTGTACATAACGAAGCGCTATCTATAAATATATTGAATACTTAATTAATGAATCCTATAAATAGTTTTCTTAAACATATTATATGCTAAACGATTTAAACTTTAATAAAAAATTTATTTGTTAAAGGAGTCATAATTCAAGCCAATTAAAATATTAATTAAAAAGTTTTTTTGTAATATTTTTCTATTTTATTATTATTTATAAATTTTTAAATATTGTTAATATTAAAGTTTTTTTTTATTATACACATCATGTAAATAAATCTTTTTTTTTTAAATTTAATGTAAATATTTTAGTATAACTTTAATAATATATAATAATAATAAATATTTATTACATTGAAACTCTAATTATAATAAATATATTATTTTACTTATATCGATAAATTTTTTTTTATATTTTAATCATTTTTAAACTTAATTTATAAATGCATATATATAAATTATATATATATATACCTATTGTTAATGACATAATATAAATAATTCATTAATATTTTAAAATCCAATTTCACTTTAAAAAATCCAAAATAAAATTATGTAGATTTCTTTTTCAACCACTAAATAATATTTGTGAATAAAATACAATATATATATATATATATATATTTAAATATCTTATATACAAATATATATTTTTTAATTATATATTTATATATACAAATATAGAATTATATACATAATTTTGAATTTATTTAATTTCATGTGTAAAAATCTTATTTATTTGGATATAGCCAAATGATTTCTTTCTAATTTTATAAAAAATGCAATCGATGGATTGATGACTTATACGCCTTGAAATAAAAACTGAATATTGACCGTATATTCTTTATATGTATTTCACTTTCTAAGCTGTGTCATTGTAATATTTATTTGCCATATTATCTGCTTCTGTGGCATTTATCTATAAAGGACCTCTTTGAGAGTTTGCGTGAGTTATTAAGTATGGGAACAAAACGCCTAAAATTTTTTGTGTTTATGACCATAGAAGTCTTTAAACACATTTTTCAATATATATTACTAAATATATTATACGTGTATTACATTATATATTATATATACATATATTATATATATGTGTAAGTTGTTACTTTCTTATATATGAATGATATATTATACATATATAATATATATAAGAACATATATATATAGGAGAACACAACTGTTGGAGGAATTTCGCCTATTCTTGTAGTGAAGTACAACTAATTTTCTAAATAAATTTAATTTAAAAAAAACTCAGTTAAATTTATAAATTAGTTGAGAAAAGCGACTTAAATTAAAATTTTGTTAAACTGTTCTGCATCAAGTTGTCATATTCCCACCTACTCAGTGGCGCTAGTTACAGACTTATTTAATATATTTGAATTGTTAATACGGACTATATATCCACTTTGCAAGCTAGTTTGCTTGTTCTTTATTTATCACTAGGCACTAATTGCGAAGTCCTTCTAATTCTCTATATGCAATTCTCTATATTCTCTAATTATTTTAACTAAAAAAAGAAGTACTTTTTTTTTGAACCTTGCCAATTTATATAATAATTGGCTTATTAACGAAGTGTTAAAAAGTTTTACTAGATTGATAAATTGATTATTACCTTATTTGTATTTGTTACTATTCGATATCATATATAATATAAAATGATAAGATGAAAAATATATCATAAAATAGATGGAACGATCACCGATGTGAAGATTAAAACATATCTAGTTCTTCATAAAAAAACAAGTTTTCCAATTTATTTGGAAAGAAGGACTACAAACTTAATAGAATCTTAGACTCTTACGGTATAGGTCGAAAGTATGCCTTCACACTGCATATATGCTCTCAGTGCAAGAATGTTATCAGATATTGAAGTAGAACATATTAATAATAAGGGGCACCGAAAATTTTTGTCACATTGCTAAAATTATTTTGTTCTACTAACAGCATAGGAGAAAAGTAAATACTTTTAAGTGAAAACGTTAACCCCAATTCACACTAAACACTTAAGCTTTCCCGCTGCCTTTCAAATCCGACCCTAGCGTTTGATTTCATTAACGGCATAATCATGCGATATTATTCGATCGTCATCAACTTGTTTGTCTCCAAAAGTTCCGTTTCGCCTTCTGATGGGTTTTTAAATCAGACTCTTAAAATTATATTACTACAAATTGTAGAAACTGTTGTGTTCATAGCATACATGTGATATGTTTTATCACTGATGTATGTTATATAGAATTTTTAACGCTTTTACTTTATATTAAAATATTATTGTTTAAATAATAATAGTATAAAGCTGTCAGGAAACAAGAATCTACTATTTTTCTTAGAAACTTTTTTAATATATTAAAATATTATTAAAAAATATTTCGAATGATCAAAGTATTCTACTCATGCCTGAAAAAAAAGTGAATTTAATTAAAATTCTCTCTAAAATAGAAACATTTAAGTTATTTGCATTTGTATACACTTTGATTTAACAAAAAATAATTATGTATTTTTTATTCATCTGTGCATAGTAAGTCATCACTAACCTATAATCTCTTTCCAAGAAAATAAACTCAGTATTTAATTTGATATTTTATTATTTAATTTATTTATATTTTGTTATTGTACTTATGCATTATTGTAATTAAATTGCCTCAAGCATGCTGAATATTTTATAGGAATATTTAATTAACTATCGTCCACTGCAGAATACTTACATTAAAATTGTTTCTATATATATATATATATAGTGACGTAGATATATATGTTTTCTCGTATATATAAATGTATTTGTTTTATTATAACTGCATATCTAACACCTCAACTATTCATATTACAATTCAACAAATAACACAAGAGAATTTATGATTTCATACTATTGTTTCGACTTATGGTTATTTTCAATTACAACTTATTTCACAATTCTGTGCACTTTCGAGTATTTATTAAAATTATTGTAGCTTTTTGCACGTAAATAGAGATGCCATAATACTGATACACTAAAATAGCTTAAGGACAAGCATTTCCAGATTCCAAATATTCCATATTATTCCGAACTAATTCACTTGCTTGCATTGGCTTGGGTTTGTTGAAATGTTGTACGTAGCTAACGTAGCTAGCCATATTGTTTCTGTAGTGAAAGCATTGAATGGAAAATATTTTATACATTAAACAATTCAACAGAACACAAGATATATAAATAATAATGGTAATGCCAGAAATTGTATATAAAACAGAGAAATACAGCTCAAGGAAATTCAGTTAACACAATAAACCGAATTAAAGCAAAAAAAAAAAAGATTTAACAAACGTAACACAAAATAGTTTTAATAATAGCATAAAATTTCACTATTTGTATTAAAGGTGTTATTTAATAAAATAAAAAAGATATTCACAAAATATTGAAATTTTAGCAAATTATAGTAAAACATACAGAACCACAATTTTAAATGCTTCTTGCAGCATTAAGCATTTTTCCAATATAAAAAAATACTTTTCTAAAACACTTTGCAACACTACTACTTTGCTACTCGCGCCTTTCGCTAATCACCAACACTGCCTTCTCTTACACAGTCGAAAATTCTTTAAAATCTTCAACTTATACTCAGTTTCTGTCTTTTTCTCTCCATATTAAATGTTAATCTTGTTTTGCTTAGTGTTTTTTAAATTTTTTAACGCTTATTTAAATTAAATTTATTGTAGTTGAATTATAAAAAAATTTATTAATTAATGCATTTTATAAATAATTTTCTTCGAATTTTTTTTGCTGCGCTCACCTCATGCTCATCAACATAACATTTCCGTATATAAAATATATATATAAAAAACTTCATAAAAATGCACCATCAAAACCACAATACCAAACAAAAAAAAAATTTGGAAAAAATAGCTCCACATTCGCCACGTCGCCAGAAATTAAATTTACGCATGAAATCACTTAGTTTGGATTCCCCCGAATCAACGGAATTGCATGGGCAAATACGACGTCGGCAACAGCCTGTTGCTGGACCATCCACAGCTGGCGGTTACTATCATGGCGGTTCGGGTGGACACTTGGAGCACAGTACACCGCCCTCTAACAACAGTCGTTTGCATTGTAAGTAAATTTACAACTTCCAAAAAAGTATGTATTACCAACTGCACCAATACTCGGTGCTAAGTCCCCCTATTCAGTACTAACACAATCCCAAACTACTTCCACTCTAAACTTATTGCCTTTGATAACTTAAAACCGTAAACAAAATGAAATAATTTCCACAGTACTTTTGTGAAAACCCCTTGAAGCTTCAAAGCTGCATTCATGTTAAATTTTTACTAACTCAATTGAAGTATTTAAGAAGGATTTTTTAAGAGATGTAAGTAAATAGTAATATAAATCTTTTTTCTTTTCATTTTAAACTAACTTAATTATTTTAAAAATTTCGAGGTTAATTAAGAAATTACAAAAATTTAAAATTTTTTACATATCATACCAAATGGAACTTTATTTATATTATACTAAAAAACGTTAACTTTATAATACTATTAAATTATAGTAATTTTAAAACAATCAGAGTTAATTCAAAAACCAGGCTTACTTATCTCAACTGCATTAGGAGCATCTATATACTCTACAAAAAATAGAAACCCAAAAACATTTTCTAAAAAGCTGTATTTTATGTGGTAAGAATAAAGTGTAACACAAAAACTTGGGTTAAGATTACAGTGCTCATTTGTAGCAGATGTCTATTCTATTATATTCTTACTTACTTACTTATTGTATTCTTCTTCTCCTTATGGAGCATAGGGTCTTTCTTCGTATTCTAATAAGTTGTAAATCGGTTACTTGGAAATATGTTCTTTATTTATTTCGTAGATTCGATCATGAAATACATTTGTTTATAATTCACTCTTCTCTTTAATGAAAGAAATTTTTTTTTGTGCTAATGCAAAATCTAGAGTTTCATTTCGTATCGAATGATAAACCCAGACACTTCTCTAATACAGATTTGCCAGTCTTACTCTGAATTCTCAAATGTTGACCATAATCCATGAACTTTGTTATTATTCGTCCTTTTAAAGTAACTTAATTTTTATATCCCTTTAAAAATCATGATCAATTAAATCATCCAATAGAACTATACAGAAGAACTAATTGACATAATTTAAAAATAATCTTTAATAATCCTTAAAAGTGACCTAATCAATTTGAGGAACTAAGTAACAAACTATTACACAAATAAATAAAAGTTATTATAATTAGGTCTTCGAAAAAAAATTAATGATAAATTTTTTAGATTTTAGAGCATTACATATGTTTCAAAAGAATGTGATTCATTATATATATTTCTAATTATAATGTTCTATCTAACAAATTCAAGTTCGAAGCTAAGCAATCACTGACTTAAAATGTCAACTCAATGAAAATCTCCAGGCTTGACTTATAAGTCCATATACTTAAAACTAACTTAATTAATTAAATTGCGTTCACACCAACACATAATTTTTTATTCTCTTTTACTTACATAAATTCGATTTTCTTCTAATTTTGTATATCGCTATTATATAATCTATGGAATATTGTCAAGATATATAATTACCACACGGTATTACCTTGCAACAGTCCCTCAAAGGTCCTTCATTTATTTAATCCACTATATTCATACTCTTGCTCCGACCGATCTTCTTAGACTTATGAAGGAAACTAAATAATTCAAATTATAGTGGCCTATTCCTTTTTAGGGTGCCTAGAATTTCTTTTGGGCTTAGAGAAATCAAAAAATTCTTGATATTTTTTAAGTACACTTTTCAATTGAAAGTTTTACATAGAAATGTTGATCAATGTGACTTAAAATATCATCTGTTTTGTCCTTTAAATTTAATAGAAACTGAGAATTGGTTTTTTATTTTAATACAGCACGATCTGGATACGAAGAGATAAATAATGATAAATAATAGTAAAGTTTATCACCATTTTCTGAATTTAATTCGGGTCTAATTTCCTAATTCGGGCATAAGCATCAAGTACAATAATATAACGATAGGATAGAATACTTTATTACATCGATTCTAGGATTTCATCCATATCTGTTGAAAGGTTTAAAACTTAGTCAAATCTATAATATAGCATAATATACTATTTAAGTGTACATTTGGTACCTGACTAAGACGTTCTAAAACGATAATTTCTTGATTAAAAATTTAAGGATCTGAAGAATTATAAGACTAGCTTTTGCAATCCTCCTATTAGCTGCAATATTAACCAATAAGGGCTATATATATTATACTGCAATGGTTCCAAAGTTTTACCGTAAAACTAATATCTCTGCATAGCATCTCAATTCGCGCAGATATATGATTGATTTTCTGAATGTTAGTGTGGAGAACTTACGTGAATAAAGTGGGTCGTTAATGTATTTACTAACTTATACCAATTGAAAATCAGATCTCTTTACCAAATTATTGTTAAAATAAATTTTACTAGATGTTTGCAAACCATTATCTGTCTACCACTCTTGTATATTGGAAGTTACAACAACAAAACTAAATTTTTAAAAAAACTTTATCTTTATTATACGAGTATATAAATATTATTAAATTTAAATTCCAAATAAACTAAAAATTTTGCTATTACTTATGTCCAATTTTAAAATAAATACTTAAATATAGACATATAGGTGACATTTGATCCTTTAGGTGATATATTGATATTTGATACTTCAATGGTGAATTGGAAAACTCACCAATTTTTGTACCTTATGACCATCTCTGTGTTCTATTTCATGAAGAACATATCTGATTTAATAAAGAAAGGACCATATCAACAATAACGTATACAAAGCCCCATATAAAAAGAGGTTTTTGAAAACTCATTTAAAAGGTTTAAATCACAAAATCCTATTCTACTTTAAATATTTTAGTACTTAATTAAATTTTTGAGGGTCATTTTTTAGTTGACGCTACTCATATTAATAATAAAATGTGCATTAAGTTACTTTAAGTTCCACTAAACTTAAAAACCGATTTTTATCTTACCTAATACGAAGTAAAAAGCAGGGGTTTGAATGTCATACTAAAATGTTGATGAATATGTATTATATTATATATAAAATATTGTAAATTGTAAATTAATACAACAACGTATAAGCAAACATCATAATCATTTCGTTCATCATTATGTATATTGTATTGTGATATTAATCAAGAAGCTTTGAAGTTTAATATGCAAATTATTTTGAAAGTAGATATTTAGATACTTGTTCCAGTTTCGTTAAGAAGTCATGTTGTTATTGTTTTGTTAAAGTTACAAATGTTCAAGTAATTAAAAGTATTTATTTGTTAATTAAAATATATAATATACATAAATTAATATATATTTACATATTAGATTAACAAGTTTACAAAGTAGTTAAAAGCTTAATGCAATATAATACATAAACCTAGCAAAACAATATAACCACAAACTGAATATTTTCAACTTGTACCACAAATGAAACATTTGATTACTCTTAGCTCAAAGAGCAATATTAATAAAAATTGTAAAACATTCGATCTTTCCGCTTTCCATATGTAGTATTCCCAAATTTCTTCCTTATAAATTTTTATTTTCTATATTAGTCCTTTGCACGCTCTTAACTCTCTATTCTATTTCTTTTCTATCTATTATACTAACACTACTTTTGTGATAATTAAATTGCATTTGGCACGTACTATTCCACACATATCATGCTAACAGCAATACAACATCCAATTACAGCGCCCTCAAGTCCTTCGCATCCGGGTCGCAAATTGCTTTATGCAAGTCGTGGCATGCGTGGTGGAAGCGTTGATCTACCCGACGAAATGGAGAAATCACAATCATCGGCCAGCACTTCACCATGTCCATCTCCTGTAAGACAATTTCAGGTATTTCTTTTTTATTTGTAGTTTTTTTATTGTTTTCACAATATTAGGAACTGGTAAATTTATTTAAAAAAATAAATACATTTAAAAAAATTAATAAATATTTATTTAAATATTTAAATTATATATTAATTTTTTATTTTATTTAAAAATTTATAATAAATGTTTATTTAAATATTTCGATTTCTTATACATATTTAGTTTTTATACACATTTCCACAATAAGAACTTTTATTTAAACAGAAATATGTCAAAATTATTTCAGAAATCTCACCGACTTTTGCCGACCAATTTATATGTCATACTGTACAACTTCAAAGCACGCCATGCTGATGAACTCGATTTAAAGGCTGGTTATAAGGTAAGTTGCATTTACCAACAGCAATAGGAGTAAATAAAAAAACTCATAATATTACAAATGAAATATAATATATTATGTATAGGATGAAAATAAGATTCTGTAAGATTGGGAAAACTAATATTGTAATCCTTAGTTGTACAAATAAATTTCAAAGAAAAGAAAGCATAAATATAGCTATATAGTTTATATATATAGCTAATATATAATGTTATATTCGTTTTATATATCTCAGATATCCAACGGGTTAGATTTCTTTATAAGTTAATAAATTAAAAGTAAGATCTTAATCATTACAATCGAAATATAGATGTGTAGCATGTATCCTTTCAAAATTCCGTAACTTCTCGCTGATAGCCTGCACTAAACCGAATATGCGTCCCCTAAAATCAATATGAAAGAAGCCAAAAAGCCACACTTGGTCGTATATATTGTAATATATACACTTGGGTTTATTACTGGTTGTGTTAGTATAAAATCATAAGAACTTAATATTAATGCTACTACTTCTCATCTCTATTACATTATATTTATTTATTAACTGTATATATGTATATATAAACTATATATAATAATAATTATATAAACTATTTCGAACCTTTAATAAAATTCTTTTCAATATATGCAATTCACTAAAATCCTCTAAAAAGTAAGTCCCTACCCTGAGCTGAACAATGTCAAAGCATATGTTAAACACTTTTCTTACCTACTCCTCAGCTACGGCCGAAATTTTTAAAACAGGTACTCAATCTACGTATTATGTTTTTCTAAACGATAATGACTTATCAACAACACTTTAATAAGGTGTAGTAAATCAATATTACTTCTTCCAAAATCAATATAACCGAAACCATTTTATTAGACCGTAGATATGCACTTAGATTTATTACCCGTTATATTCTTATATAAATCTTAAAGAATTTAAATAAATTTTAAACCTAAAATTAAGGCTAAGATGATTCTCGATGGTGATTCATTCCATTGACTAAGATGCTCTTGTTAGTTCTTGGCACAAATACGCCGGCTCTCATGCCGGAGTTTGAACGGCCATATTGTTTTTTCTCTCATTCTCAAATTTAAAATTTACATTGAAAACAACAATAATTGTCCTCATGCCGTGCCCGGGACACTCTGCATAACATGGCCCTACAAAGACGTTTTTCGATTACGAAAAATTATAGCCTATTATGCTATGTTTTGAAATTCTTCAAAACAATGTTTTTGATGACAAGGAAATTCGATACATTAAAAAGTTATACTAACAACAAACTGCTCATGTATTTTTATCGTCATCGATGGCGATATAACAGAAGAAATATCTATTTCAGGAGGCGTTAGACAAGGTTACCTGCGATCGTCACTGTTATTCAATGTATACTTTCAAAAAATATTTAAACAGTATTAAAATACTGTTTTTATTAACTGTATTAAATGTGCAGATTACATCACTCGTATTGCCGACAGTCACTGATGTTAACAAGCTCAAAGAATTAAAGTTATGAATTTTTCGAAGAATTCCTAATATTCCATGGATGAGCCATGGTACCAACAATGAAGTTTAACGAAGAATGAATTGTGATCACGAATTGTTAGCAACTGTAAAGAGAAGTAAAACAGCCTACCTAAAGCATTTTATGAGAAATCCAAAATATTAGTTTCTCCAAATAATTATTCAGTGAAAAATCGAAAAGAAATCGGTATTGATAAGAAACAGTTTTCATAGCTCTGAAACATCCGTCAATGGACCGGAATACGAGAAGTCGGCAACCTTATATATATATATATAGCTGGCTGCAAATAACCATATGCAGATATTGTAAAAAATTTGTAATTATGTTTATTCAAAGTTAGTTTAAACAATGTAGTTTCATATTATATGATCACCAATATTCGAAATAGAATTGACATATAAAAAAGAAGAAGTACAAGCAAACTTTAATAATTTTTAGACGATGTTGATGGAATGATCAGATAAATAAAATGAGTGATATATATTTCTAGGGCAAGTTGCTTATTTAAGAGATTTATTCGAAATGCTTATATGTTAATATAACTTGACATCGAAAGTGTGTTTGATGGCATTTAAGAATTTTAATAGATACATCCAGTCGCCAAATATACATATAGATTACAACGACTTTTCCATGATGTTAATTTCTGCAGTTGATTCTAATGTTAATTTTTGAATGTTAAATATCTATTCAACTTTAGATGGCTTGAATGAAACCATAAAAAAGTGAAAAATTATATGATTCCCAGGGTATTTGTAGCTAAATCAATTCCAAATTGTTTTTAACAAGACAAGTCATTTGTGATGAACTAATACACCTGATATGTAGCATTTAATCTTCATCAAATATTAAGGCAACATACAAATAAAATTGAAACGTTTTTTTAAATGTTTAAAATGATTTTCATTAAATTCACACAATCTTCGCATATCCTGTACTTTTTTGTATCAACCTGATTGCTCTTTGGGTCAAATTGCAGAGCTTGCATGTCGTCCTCTGCAAATATTTGTATTTGTTAAGCAATTTTTTTTATAAATTTTTGTACACACACAATCCAAAGGACTTTCCATGATATTCCCAATTCGACAAGCGAAATTTTTTGGTAAATTTTATTTATCAGTTTTGTGGTATTAACCCAAAATTTTTATTTGGGTTCGAAATAAACAACTGGGAAATGAACAATTTTACTTTTACTTATTTTATTTATTTATTTATTATTTATTTGATTTTTTTTTAAATAAATGTTTTCAAATTTTATACATAAGAAAGATTAAATATTTTAGTACTACAAACAAAGTGAACCGATTACTCATTTATGTAAAGGCGCTCGATTCGATTATTCGTTTAAAAGAAATATGTATAGTGAAAACTTTTGTAACCAACATTCTTCTTAGAAATATAACTTTACTAAAACAATGTATTTTTTATCAATATTTTGAAGAACTTAACTTCTTTTCTCCGGACACCCTTTTAAAATAAGTTAATAGAAAAGTAAGTTAACGATGGGTATTCGCTCAATGGTGTTTTTAATGTTATATATATGTTATGGGTTTTATAAAAGTAATTACTTTTAAAATTTTGAATTTATTTATCGACCTGTTTGTTTATAATGGTTTTTATATATTTTTTAATCCGACTTTAGGTTACTTTTTGTTAAATAACTCAACATTTATTTAATATTTTTTAATACATTCTATATTTCCACACTCCTTGAGAGTCATCATCAGGATCACGATTTAACATAAATTAATATTATTAAAACTGTATCTACGTCATCCGGATCTATAACCACTTAATCACTATAATCACTTTCACTAAATGAAAGCCAAGTTAGTGGAAAATACCACTTGCCATAACTTTAGGAAATTATTATATTCCGTCAACTCTGAAGCGAAAAACATTCACATGGCTGGGAAATCAATAAAATAAATTTAGCGAAAAACGGGGTGTCAAAAAATCGCCAAATGGAAAACGACCCTAATTCAAAAAACTTTTAATACTCGTATATTAATTATAGTTCATTCGAATAGTACCAATTTTTAATCCATTAAATCATTATGTGTCTTCATAATTTAATAAGATTAAAATTTTTTTGTTTCAAAATTGATTTTTTTGCAAAATATTGAATTTGAACTGCACCTGCGTACCCGTCCATGATATTGACGGAAAAATATATTTTTCTCTGCACATTAAAGGAGTCGTTCCTCGAAAATGTGGTTGAATATTTCAACAGGGCTAAGTACTAATCATCGATGGAAAATAATTAATGTCACCTGCTCTTCGAAAAACTGTGGCTATCACCTTTCCGGTCGTCTTGTAAATTCTTGTCTTCTTTGAAACCAATTCATTTAAATCAATCCTATTGCTATTTACTAATTATATGCGTTTCGACTACATATATAATCAATATTTTGCTTAAGCATGATATGATGCAATTATATATTGTATACACTCGTATTCTTATTTTTTTGTACAATCTGTCCTAAAATAATAATTTTTGTAAGTTGTCAGTTTTAAATTAGCAAAATCTTTTTATTATATTTTATTTATGTTATATACTTCAATACAAATTTACTTATTCTAGAAAACTTAATGAGTAAGTGTCTTCTCATTATTATCTGCAAGGTTCAGATTTGAACTGTTATTATTTTAATTGGGCCTATCAAATCAAATTGTTGGCAATTTCACCTTCTTCATCCTTTATTCTAATAGGGAATAATGAGATGTTTATGTACATTAGCTTTTGAAACATTAAGCAGAAACATTACTTAACCTCGCAGTGTCTTTTTTTTATTGGTAACACTAAAGAATTTCAATATCAGATTGGTTTTTAGTCCCCATTATCTGTTGACTATATCTTCACACAGTTTTTTTTATTGCTTGGTGGACACAAAAATCTTTTTGGTTTAGAAAGTTCAACCCAATAATCAGTATATTTATTTAGTTTTTGAATTAAAGTGAGCTTTTCATAGTAGAATATTGCCATAACAAAAAAGCTATGGATCAGTTGACTAATGAACATTAATCCTAAGCTTCAAAATTGGCAGGATATGAATTCTACCCTTGATGAATTAAAAAATAATTTAATTTAATTTAATAATTTAAATTTAAGAAATATTTCCAGAACCATTGATGATGGGTACTTGGCAATAATCGAAGCAGCTGTATGGTCAGTCGAAATTTTAATTAATAAAAATTAAATAAAAATTTTTGTTATTGCAATTCACTACTATTTGAAATGTTTGTATTAAATGCAATACAATTCCATTACGTAAAATAGTCAGTGTCGTCATAACTGACGTTAAAGTCAAATTTAATCTTTAAAATATTTTATTGTCATTTTGCTTTTATGAGAGTTTTTCAGATTAATTTAGTATCTGATTAATTTAGTATTAGTACATATATAGTAAGTACTTCATGAAGTTACTTTGATGAAAAATAATTGAAAAATACCTTAACTAAACTCTTCACCTTAAAGTTAAAGCTACTTTCACTGATTTTGAAGTAATTAACTTTATTTCATAGCAATAAAACCAAGTTTCAGCTCAACTGAACTAAGAATGTAGATTATCTGAATAGCTTCCTAGTATAATAAGCTTAATGCCTAAATAGATGTGTCGATAGCACTATGATGCGTACTAAGATACTTTCTCGTAGAACTCTTACGTTTAAGAGTTATAGAGAAGAATATAAATATAACTTTTTTATTGCACCCAGAAGAATGACTTTATTAATAAGTTGTGTGGCGCAGGAAACCAACTCTTTATCTTGAATAATATGTCACCATATTAATCTCTGTCTATTGAATTGACATATCGAAATGCGAGTTGAATATTAAAAAACTACCGCAGTTTTTTTTTTATTGACAATTATTAACAAAAGCAAACAATTTAATCAAATTCAATTTAATATGAGCGGATTTGTAAAAAGTTTCGATGCAAGATTTCTCTAAATTAAGTCAAAAACTGAACTTATTATTGTTATGGTTAAAAGATGTGACACTGTGACCATTGGGTCTATTGTGCCTCAAAGTGCACGCATACTTTAATGATAAACAAACAGACATTGTTAAATTGATTAGCATAGATTAGTATAAGTGCAGTTTGTAGAGTACGACATCTCATTCAGTGCGTTGCATGCAACTTCACAAGCAATATTTCATTTTTTGATAACAAAAATTAGTATTACGGATGCTGCAATACCATTTGCATAAAGTTAGTTGGTTGGTAGTTGATAACATCAACCAATATCATTTATATTCAAACTTGGTCTGTCTATAAATTACGAAACAGTTCCTATGCACAATTTCATGCGATTAGCTCTGTTATCGAGCAAACTACTGGTGTTTATATAGGCAGCTGTAGATAAATCATTTAATCCTGATTAATATGTTGTTTAAGAAGACTTAATATGCCATTTATTTACATTAGCGGCCGTAAATAAATTATTTTATATTCATATATTGTTTAAAAATAATTTAATGAACCACTTACTCGACATTAGCAGGAAAGATAGAAAACTATATTATCCTTAATCTGATACAAATATGCAGTCGAATTGTGTTTTGAAGTGTGTACGTTAAAATTTTGATATACCTTCTACTCAAAAAGTAGCCGGATTTTTTTATTTGTTAACTACTTCTTAAGTAATAGACCTTTTTCAAAAAATTTTTTTTGTTATGTTGCTACACCCTTTCTTGACATATGGTACAAATTTGAGCGCCATCTGTCAATTAGTTTGTTAACAGCAGCTGTTAATGTGAGACTACCTCAAGTGCATTTAGCGATTTTTACTATGGAAACTATGGCACCACTGACATCGCTGAGGTATCATATTCGCTAGATCTGGCGCCGTGCGACTTTTTTCTGTTCCCGAAACTCATATTGCCCCTTCGTGGTAAGCGTTTTGAGTCGATTGAATCGGTAAAAGAGAATTCACTGAAGGAACTAAAAGCCATACCTTCACGGACCTACGAAAAGTTTATGAAAGATTGGGTTAAGCGTTGGCATATGTGTATCGCTTCAGAAGGAGCATATTTTGAAGGAGATAAAATAAATTTGGAATAAAATTTAAATTTGTGTGTTTTATTTACAAAATCCGCGTACTTTTAAAATATATATATACTATATATATTTTATAAATATTTTTTTTATAAACTTTTATTTTTAAATTTTAACAAATTCGTTGCCTTCGAGTATTCCTGCTATAAATTCGGTTAAACGATATTTTCTATATTTGCATATCCTAATATTATTTATTTATTCCCAATGGATCAAATCGCTTTACAATGAAGCATTGCTTGCAAATGGTAAAATTAAATTTTTTATTATTTAATAAATTCTGTTATAAATCTGAATTGATGATTTCGAATTTGGGAAGATTTATTTCGATTTAAATTTGCATAAACTTTTGTTTTAATTTATTCAGTGATATTTTTTCATTTTTTCATTTACCACATAAGAATAATTATTTGTACAGTTGCCAATTTTATGGCCTGACATGTAAACACAAAGGAAAATATTGCATATAAACAAAGCATAGTTACTGAGTACTTGTCATCAAAGTGAAACATTTATAATAGAACCATGGAAAGCAAAAATATAAAAAAAATATGAGGACTGAGCTCTGAGCTCCGAGCTCCAAACAATTGAACATGACACAATTTTACTTTAGCACTTGGCAATTTTGTATTTTGTATTGCCGGCAGCATTAATCTCAGTCATTACCAGCAGTCAGTCAATGTGAAAACCGTTAAGTGGATACAAAAATAACGGAACAAGTTCCAGGAAACGGAAAACAGAGGAAAACGAATGATGCAACGCCATAAGAAGACAGCAGCCAACAGCCAAGAGCTAAGGAATTGTCTGGCGTGTCTGCATCATTGCTCACTGCCATTCACTTTTTCATGATATATAAATTAGCCAACGACTTGCCATACGGAAAAAGCCATAAGGATACGTTTGATAAATACTTAAAATGCGATAAAAGGCAAACTGCTTACACCAGCTAAATCCGACTTGATTAGCAGTAAAACTTTACATTGTAACAGCATTTATCCCAATTAAACCATGAGTAAACTTAATTAATAAAGGAAAAATTACTTTGAATACGAGTATAGTCAAACTTCATTAATTTGCTTATAATTTAATCGGAAGAATGGAATAGTTTAAGAGGAAAGTAAAAAAAATAAATATTAATTACACATCCCGTGTATTGAGATGCTTTTTAGTAACTTGAGGTTAACTACTAGCGTCTGTTGAAATGCTCCTGTTGATCATCTTTTAAAAATGGGATTAAAAGTCACCGAAGTCTGCAAATTCTGTAAAACATTGAGAATCTCCTTCTCAATTCTGGAATCTGAGGTCTTAGATCAAGTTGTCAATAACCCCAAATTGTCCGAACTCTCTTTAGGGATTAATAGCACAATGGAACTCATAAATCGCAGTTTACCATTGTCCCATCAAACTTGCGGTTTTAAGCAGAATGGAACTCTAAAATCGTAACACTTCGTTCAATAATGTGTATGACTAACTAATTAAAACACATTTTTTGCCAAAATTGGTTTTTATTCATCAACATAGTCCCCTTTTAGGGAGATACAATCATTCCTACGCTTATGCAATCTTTCGATACCGCCTTTGTAAAACGATTTTTCATTGCCTTCAAAATAGGCGTTAGTTTCGGCGATTACTTGATCATTTGACCCAAATCTCTTACCACGGAACATCTTTTTGAGGTCTGTGAAGAGCCAGTAGTCGCTGGGGGCCAGATCTGGAGAATACGGTCAATTCGTTTAATTTTGCCATCGTTTTCATCACTTGTGACACGGTGCATTGTCTTGGTGGAACAAAACTGTTTTCTTCGCCATATGAGGCCGTTTCTTTGCGATTTCGTCTTTCAAACGCTCCAATAACGCTATAAAATAGTCGCTGTTGATGGTCTTTCCCTTCTGGAGATAGTCGATGAATATTATTCCATGCGCATCCCAAAATACAGACGCCATAACCTTGCCAGCCAACTGCTGCGTCTTTGGTCGCTTTGGGCGGCTTTCACCGGCTGCATGCCACTCAACAGACTCCCAATTTGACTCTGGAGTGAAATGGTAAATCCATGTTTCATCCATCGTGATGTACCGACGCAGAAACTCCGACTTATTGCGCGTAGACATGTCCAAACAGCTCTTTGAATAACAGCGTCATTTGGCCGTCCAGTAGATGGAATGTCATCGGTGTCTGTACGACCACGTTTGAATTCGGCATACCAATAACAAATACTTCTTTTTGATGGAGTAGAATCCGATGGAGTAGAGTCAAGTCATTCCTGGCATTGAACAGTATGTTTTTTCATTAAAAAACAATGATAAATCAGCACACGGAATTGCTTTGAATTCATTTTTTGAAAACTCAAAAGTAGCGTCACTTAAAGCACTGTAACTTGTAAACAAATGGTCGGATTAACATATGATTTTGACAGTAAACTTAAAAAGGTTGTCACTTTTGAAATAAAATATTTATTTAGTATTAGTGCCGCCATCTATGTGTCAGTCACATACAACTTGGTATTCTAAGAAATTTGTGGTAATGCAGTCATGAAAATTAAAATATTTGTTATTTTTTTTAAACTTGGTATTGCACTACATGTGAAAATAAAAATATCTTTTAAAATCGAGACTAAAGGACACCAAAACCTGCAGATTCTCCGAAATGCAGCGAATTTTCTCTCCATTAGTTTGAGGTCTAAGATGTTGTGCTAGGTATATTAGGTTTGTCAGTAGCCGTAAATTATTCGAATTAGCATAAAAAGCTGTTTCCAAAGATGGATATCACACTGGACTTCATAAGTTCTGGTGCATAATTATTTCATTAAACTTGATGTTTTAAACACAATGGAACTCAAAAGTCTAGGATCTTCAAGCAAGAGATATTGAGTTTGTCAATAGCCATGAATTGTTCGAATTAGTTAAAAAAACTCTCTCTAGGGATAAATAACCAAAAACGGGGCCACTGAAAACCATTTCTGGAATCTGATTTCAAAGATCTTGTGTTAAGAGATATTAGATTTGTGAATGCCCCTAAGTTGTTTAAATTAGTTTAAAAAAAACTCCGCAGGAATATGTAGTACAACAGTACAACTTACTATTCTTTAGAAATACTCCTCATAGTTAAATTAAAAATTTATTATTGTCTAAAATAAAATAAACAACTGTTCATTTGTTACCTACTCCTTCTCTATTTACAGGTTACTGTTATAGATACATCCGATCCAGATTGGTGGAAAGGCAAAGTACTTGGACGTGTTGGTTATTTTCCATCCAAGTATTGTGTACGATTGAGTGCCAATGAAAAACCCTTACAGGTTACGCACAATTTACAAGTTTCAGATGGCGAACGTGGTGAAAATATGACACTGTTAAGAGATCAAATCGTAATACAGGTGAGTTACTCATAATCAGATTCAGCGCTCCATAATTACTTCACATCCTGTAATTATTGAATTTGTTCTCCTATTTAGGCTGGTGATGAAGTCAATGGTATGGTGAAGGTGCGTTCAGCTGACAATCGTCAAGGCTATTGTCCGATAAAATATCTGCAAGAGGTGTGACAGCCAGAAGAGCCGCCAGAAGAACGCGATAAACCGCAAAAATCATCGTTTTCCTCAAAGCTGTTAGACAAAACAAAACGTAGAATTAGAATAGTTATTAACGAGAACGGTGATAGAAAGACCAATTATAATAATCTCAGTAAAGAGAAATCTTCAGATGATATAAAGAACATAAACATCGATTATAATGCTGACTATAGTCTAAGTAATGGCCTTGCTTATGGTGGTAGAAATAAAAATGATAAAAATTGGGAAAATTGGGAGCGCATACGTGAACAAAAATTAGAAAAAATGAAAAATATATGCTTTGAGAGTTATCGTCAATCGAAGCGGGATAGAATGCAACAGGCTAAACCAAAACCCAAACAGCTTGACCCAACCTGGTACACAGACAATATATATTCAAATCATTCGGAAGATTTGGATGACTATGTTCCGGATTGCATTAAATATGGTACATATAGAAAGCTTCGTAACATACGCGAACAAGATGAGTTCTATGCAGATAATAATTTGTTTGAAACGCCTGATACCAGAGAACGTAGAGGTGAGGGTGAAGGTTCTCCAGGCTATGGGTTACAACGTTCTACCAGTTGTAAAGAATTTCAATATCCGAAAGTGCAGAGTTGTAGCTTTAGCGGTAATGTTTATGAAAGTGGTGGTACTGCAACGCTTGGTGCTGCCCCAACACCTACATCTATACTTAAGAAGCATAGCAATGTGCCCAAATCTTATTCATTCAGTGCCACTTCCAAGACTGCACCTTTCGATGTAATGGATTATGATTTACCTCGAGCTGCTAATACACGTCGTGAAAAACAGGAAGCTTTTCGGAAATCCATGGGTTATTATATCAGTAATAGTTTAGATGAAAGCACATTAACGTATGGCCATGACGTTTGTGATACACATATATGCTGTGCCCGCGAACACTGTACAAGTGCCAAATGCCTATTAGATGATATCTATCCCAGCTATGCGGGGACTCATCATGGTTGGCGTCGTGGTGAATCGCTGGGTTTGTATGGCGCTAGTGCCAGTGGTGGTAGCAACAGAAACCTGCATACCGCCACCGACTGGATTGAGGATAGAAACAATCATCGTGTGGCAACGGCCTCGCGCTACTCGCTGCATGCAGCACGCGAACGTGAGCAGCCACTGCCGCCGCCACCCACGATGATATGTTGCTGTGCCAACGATGACTATTGCTACCACCGCCAGCAACAGCACCATACAGCCAGGCCACGTTCACGTCTTTACTGCCCTGGTCATCATCCGGCCGCCGAAGAAGAGGAGCATATGCACTGCCGCGCCATGTCTTACGATACAGACTTAGAACATTATATTCGTGATGAGCGTGAGCGTCTTATGATGCAAGACAAATTTTTAGACGAAGATGAACGCTACTTAGCCATTGCAGGACCGAGTACGCAATATTATCGAAGACCAGCACGCAGTAAATCGTTACTAGAAGTACAACCACCTAGTCGTTATGATGATGACACGTGTTCTGACTCCACTGAAATGGATCTCGAAGATTTTAGCATAGATTTAGAAAGATATTGGGAAGAATTGGAAAAAGCACCAAGTCCCATCGACATAGATATGCAGCGCCGCAACATGCATAGTAATCTCAAAGTGAAAAACGTTAATGTGGGCTGCTATAATAATGGCCAACCAATAGATATGCACGATAGGGAACACGAACGTATGATGATTAAAAAATCCTTGCTTGAAGGCATGCCATCACCTCCGCAAATTGAATCTACTACAGTTCCTTCTACTTCAAAGAAACACGGTATTAACAATGCAACTGATTTTCATTTTTTTGATCATGCTAGCTCGCCCCTGCATCGCTCCTATAACTACGGTCATAAAGTCTATCCAGCAACAGATACTTTGCCATCCTACAAATACAATAATTTTTATCCTGAAGAAACCGTACAAACGCAACAGCCCACATCTGGTGGGCATCATCCATCAGCGGGCGGGCACTCTGCACTAAGTCTGATTAATAATATTTTCTCCATTTATAAACCCAACAAATACTCACCAAACAATTGCCAAATGAATGTTGCAAGTAAACCTGATCCTTGTAAAAAATTCAATATGCCCAATGCTGCAAGATCAATGGGAACATCACGTCATGGCGAATACATGCACTCTATGAAGCGTCCATTAATCGTTAGCTCCGAACAGCCACATTTCAAAATAATTCCCGAAAAAACTGGTCTTAAAATCTCGCCGCTATACAATTACGACGACTACAGTGAAAAATCACAAGTGCAACATAAATTCAGCAGTTCAGCACGGCCTCTTGTGCTTCCACACTGATGGTGCTGGACCTTCCCGTGGTATGGAGATTGTTAAAAATGAACGCTGAAGCGCACAAATCAATTCATAACGGTGAGCAGAAAGACTAGCTTTGTGAACTCTCTCACTGTAGTATCGACATCATTTATAATAATTCGTACATCGTCTATTCATCTCACGTCTTCTTTAGTAATCACAACTAGTGTGTATGAGATGGTCAAGGATTTTGGTTTAGTCATGATCAAGTTTGCAAACAGCTCCTGAAATGATGATGTGAACGTAACATTTTTATGCACTGAAATATGGAAGATGATGGTACCGAAATGATGTTCTGATAAACGCGTAACAATGCCATACCATAGGAAAACTAATTTATGGTTTTTATTTTGACTGTTAAGTGAATTTTCAAATAAATTTTATGGAGAACTGCTACAGGAATAATGGAGCTGCAACAGGATTTGCATATTATTCCACCGATATTAACGATGACAACTAAAGTTACTGAAACGAATTTAATTTCCTATGAAACATCTTTTTTACTGTGTGGTTTGAACTTAGGAATTGTATCTATAAAAAAATGAACTCTTAGAAATGCGAGTGAAGGCACAATACACTCTTTGTAGATTGATTGTTATGAATGATATTCAAATACGTTAAGGTGAGTTCCAATATTCTTTAAATGCGGTGTTGGGTTTAGTTAAGGTTTTGGAGTGCTCTTAAGGGTGCTGTTATAATTTTTATAACGAAATATTATAATACTAATTCGAATCTTTCTTTTTACTAAGTGTCTGAAATGTTTTTACTTTCTCCTAAAATCGAAAATGTATTTAAATGGCAAAATAAGCATATCTCTTTGTTAGTACTCGATAATAGTTTTTACCTGCAGATTGAAAGATTAGAGATGGAGATATCGCTTCTTATTGAAGCAGCAAATTAATTAATTAAGTAAAATATTTTCACTAAAAAAAGATCTCTTCAATGATTGACAGAAAGATGGAAAAAAAGTTTCGCAAATATTAGACACGCTTCATACAATATATATTCTATAAAACATAGATTTTAACAATTGATTCTATATAGTAATTATCTTGATAACAGTAATTTAACATCATTAAATGTTTATGTATAATAATACGCTTGAGAACAAAAAATTATTTTATATAGACGGAAAGTTATAACCCATTAACTAATCGGCTCGATGATTAATCTCAATAGTTCTCTATCTTAGTACTGCTGTAGGATCCGCACTTTTGATAATCGCACTAAATATCGTATATCGGAACTTCATTACTTATTGAATTTTAAAAGAAATTAAAAATATTCCCTCATTCGTTCCACTTGAAGGCTACGTTCTTGAATGTCATAATGCCAGTCCAATATTTTAAACAAATCAACATCAATAAGATCGTGTGAGAACATTTTACGTATGAGTGGTCTTTTCTCATAACAATTGATATCATACCATTATAAATAAGAAAAATTAAGTCTAAACGATATGATATGATTCCCAAATCATATCCAAATCAATCCTAAAACCCAAATCAAAAATATAAACAATATTCCATAAAGAAGTTTGAAACGAAATAAACTATAAATGTAGTAGTAGCTATCGTAAATGGAGACTTCAAAGTGATTCACTTTTGTTAGGGTAAGTAGTCGCGGTCCTAAAAATTAAACGTAACGGTTCAAATTTGTTCATTACTATTATATTCAGGGATCTATTGTGGTAACTTTTTAACCGATTCTCAGACTTTTACTTAACGTGGGCACCTTGAATGATTGTGTTTCCATCTCTATATTCAACACAACATTGTTTTAACATAAATTCGATATTAGACCACTTTGGATATGATAAGGTCTTCAACGTTTTAAACAGGTTTTTACTTTTTATCATTAAGTGGTCTAGGATTTATTTTTTTAGTATTTTTGGGTTAACCACATTTTTTCACATAAAAAACATTTCATACCCAACTCAACAAAGTATTGTTTACTTTTTACTACAACGTGCCATAAATGAGTTCCCAAAGATTCCATTTTATGGACTGTCATAATAATCCTTGAATTATAATAGTACTAATTGCGGACAAAGCTAGAGATTCAGTAATTTACAGCAGTTGTGAAACTTAATATTATAATATTTAACGTAATACTTAATACATTTGCTTCAGAAGGAATTGAAGGGAATATATGGTATCATATTTGAATGAGATTATATAGTTTTACAAAGTGGGTGAAAATGAAATATTATAAAAGAACTTTGTCGTAAGATGTTCAATTCAGAAAAATAATTTCGATTAATACATATACATTAACATAATTAGTACAAAACTTAATCGAAAGTACTATGGACGATACTAAGGTCGTAGTGCGTCTCAGCACTGTAAGCTTGGGTCCACATCATTTGTTGTCCCCAAAATGTTTTCCACAAGAAACTTAAGCTATATCTTATAAAAATTAAGGATTAATTTGTTAGAGATTTTTAAATACCTCGTTTCTCCAGTTCAATCACCTTAAAAAAGATGTTTCTAAAATTAATTCGCTTTATCGATAAATCCATTTTTTTTTCAAAAACTACAAAAACAAAACGTAATTAAAGCGCTCAAAAATTTTTCCAATTTTTTTTTATAGAATGTTTTATGTAAAACTAAATAAAAATAAAATGTAAAAGTATAAAAAAAAATTTTAAAAAAATATTTATATATCTATATAAAAAGAAGCAATCATATTCATGAGATTCTTATAATCAATCAACTTCATACAACAACTTTTGAAATATAATATTAAAATACGATCTTTTCTAGCAATCCTAAGACAAAACTTTTCTATTTTTTATACCGAAAACTTTTATATTTTTTCAAAACAGAACAAAAAAAAGAATTTTATAAAATTATTTTTTTAAACTTTCATTAACAACAAATTCGTTTTTACTACTAAAATAATTATTTTAAAATATGTAAGTAAAATATTCATATTCATATATATGAAAAATAACTCTTATAACGAAAACTTTTTAAAAATACACTGACAGAATTTTTTGTAGCACTTTGTAATTTTTTTTAGCACAGCTTAATGTTAAATGTTGGATTATTTATAAAATAAAAAATTATAAAAAATAAAAAATTATATAAAATAAAAAATTATAAAAAATAAAAAATTATATAAAATAAAAAATTATATAAAATAAAAAATTATATAAAAATAAAATATAAATAAATAATAATAAGAACATAATTAAATATAAGTTAATTTTATTATATACATATAAAAAAATATTATAATTTAATTGATAAATATATGTATATACATATATATATGAATAGTAATCGCTTTTTATAGTGTATCCACGGGCCTTATTTTTCAACAAAGCTAATTAAAATTTATAAAGTAAATTAGTTAAATATATTAAATCGATATATGTATGTGAATGCTTGTGCATGATTAACTACTGAATATAAATTAAGAATTTATTTATTATGAGATGAGTTAATTATATAATATATAAATAAATACTGTATATGTGAATGTAAAAAGGTTAGAGAAGAAATTTAATAAGGCCACAAACATTTTCTAAAACAAAGTTTTAAAAAATTTTTATGAAAGCTGAACTTTTATCCGTGCAAACGCATATATGCAAATTATTAAATAGGAATAAATAATAATAAATATTTACAATCTAAAAATTTATAAAATAAGAAATATCTATATACGAGTACATACTATATATAATCATATGCATACGATGTATAACACATATTTATAGCTTAGGATAAATAGTTATTTGTAGTAATGAAGATCAAATTATTATATTATTTTAAATTTATTTTACACATTTTATTAGTGTTTTTTAAATTTATTTATAATTTTATATTTATTTCAATTTTTTTTGTCTTAATTTGGATATAATTATTTTCTTGATTTAGGTTGAGACAACAAAAACTTTTGATAAATAATTTTTATTCAAAATGAATTATTTTATTTCATTTAAAAATTATATTTCCAACTATTGTTAGATTTGTCATAGCTAACATGATAATACATCCCTTTTTTTAAAGGAACTCTCCCGTTGTTGGAATTTGTGTCCTATTGTGCTGAAAGAATATAGCACCGCCCCGCTTAAATTAAATCTAAAATCTGTGTAAAAGGAATATTTCGCATATTTTAAATATTATTTTAAATATATTATGTTATATTAAATATTCACATATAAAACATTTCATTGCGGGTTTTAGATCTGTCTTAGTTAAGGTGACGACACAAACAGAATTTTTATCTCATTGCTAAAGTGATAAGGTGATATATGCCGTTGTCACGCACGGAAACAGAATTGCCCGGTTTTTAGAAAATGTTTCAACGGATTTTAAAAAAGAAAGCGCCTTATCGGTAGAGGAAATTCATAATATTTATTAATAATTTAAATAACAATCGCCAGATTCTGACAGTTTCCTAAGAAAATTGAAAATCCAACGACAATATTCCGTCTTATTTAGATGTGTCAATTCAATTAACTAAATGGTTCTATTGGTAATAAGAATTGTATCTGGTACTGGTACTGTACACATACGTATGTTGCCTCTATGTGACCCAACTTCCGTACATACATTATATGAAAGTACAATGTATGACTTATTCAATTCAATTAATTTGTGAATTCGTTTCATTAGAGTATCAACTTTCTGATTAAACTTTATTTTATCCCCACAAACTCGTTACTTTCTCTTCCTCTTACTTTTATTTTATCTCATTCCATATATGAACTAACGCTCTCACCATTTCTCTGTAAAAAAATGTAATTTCTTTCATGGTTATATTAAGATGGTAGATTTATATATTAACGGTAACTCGAAGAAAATCCTTACTTCAGATATATGCATTAAATATAATTTATGATTTTCCGATAAAAACCACTGCATTGGGCACTAGACATAATTTTGTGGGCTACTTTTCTATATGCACATAATAATATTCCTTTCAGTCAATCTTTTTTTATGGTATCCACCTGAAATATATAACTCCAAAGACACATATCTTGGAAGAAGAATAGAAGAATATTAAGACAAAGTATGGGGTGAATAACAGACAATATTTATATATTGTATGAGAAATATGTATACGCATAATTTGGATTTTTAAAACTATATATATATAAAAAATATTTTATTCATTTATTTTATTTTTGTTTTTTTTATATTTATTTTATTTTCTTTTTTTATATTTTTTAAATATTTTTATTTATAATTAAATTTTTTAATTTCATTATTTATTATTTAAGAATTACCACCTGTTAGAAAGCATTTTTAAGACCCCTTCGCCTACAGTATTAAATCTATCAATAAAACTCGTGAAATATACAAATTAAGTAAAAAATAAATAAAATATTTATTAACAATATCGTTTAATAATAATAATATGTAATATAATAAACAAATAAAACTTTGTAATAAAAGTTTATTTGATAAAATTCATTAAAATATTTTAATAAAAGTAATAAACTTTTTTCTATGAAAACAATAAACTATATAAATTATATTTAAAATAAAAATTAATATAATATTACATTAATACATATAATATAATATAAAATCAAGATAAATTCAAGTTGTTTCGAAATTAATTTTATTTCAATAAAAATAATAATCGTATTATAATAATAGTTTGATCAAATAAATTAATTTTATTATAATAATAAAATAATAAACATATAATAAAACAGATAATAAACTATAAACTCTTTCTGTAGACATGAAGTATAATTATTATAATTAAAATCGTTATGATATATTTGTTTTTATTATTGCGTTATTATTTTTTTTCATAATCAATAGGTTGTTTTTATTTTTGTGTTATAATAAATAAATAAAAAATCAATTCATTCTGATTCATTTTTATTTTTCATTTTTTTTAATTAAAAATTTTTATAAATTATAAAAAATTAATTTATTATTTTTATTTCAATTGTAATGTTCTCAATATTAGAATTCTTGAGTCTTGTACCTTATACATTTTT